CAGGTCAATGGTGTGACAGTGGGGGCACTGGCTAGTGGAATGCAGACTGTAACATCCACCATTCCTGCCGTGCCTGGAGTGGGTGGAATAATTGGAGCTTTGCCAGGTAACCAACTGGCAATTAATGGCATTGTAGGAGCTTTAAATGGGGTTATTCAGACCCCTGTCACAATATCCCAGAACCCTACCCCCCTCACCCATACAACTGTACCACCTAATGCAGCCCATCCAATGCCAACTACACTGACTAACAGGTAAGAAACTTACTTAAATACCTTTTGGGTTTTTTAGTGCAACATGGCACCAGTGCTGTCCATACTTTAGATTGGGATTTTTAAATGTGCTCCTTGTTAGATGTACTCTAAGAAATTAAAACCCACCAAACTTAATATATTATACCAAGAGCCATTTATTTTTGACACTTAAGTAATTCAGGTTAAAACAAAATTAAATCACCTTTCATAACAAAGCATTAGGTATATTCTATACTGAAAATTTCAGTTTTGATCTGTGATGTGTGTTTTAAATGCTAATTTTTCTTATCCCCATGTATATTGCCTTCATGTGTCATAAATCCTGAAGAAAAATAATATTATAATGAAGATCACATATGAATGTTGGTTTCTTAAAATTCAGCTATGTAATTTTGTTAGCTTTGTTGTCAAAGATTTTGATATAAGATGAAGGTCAAATATTTATCTTGAATTTCCAGGGAGTGAGACTCACTGTTTCACTGTGGTGGAATTTCATTTGAATGGCAAAGCCATGTTGTTATTGCACATACTTTTGAGGAATAAATCATTTTAAATGGATTTGCAATGGATAGTAGTAAACTATTTCTTCTGGCTGTCTTTTCATTGGTGCTTAATTTTACCGACCATTGGGACTGTAAAAAAAGTTTAGGTCAAATCAATTAGTAGTATGTTTGGATTCTTTCCTTGTTTTAAATATGTGTCACTTAGTGTGGGTTAAATTATCCTTGAATGATTAAAAATAAAGTATTACATGTTCATGTTATAAACACATGTAAATTTTTATTCCATAAAACAACTGAGTGCCTGCTTGGTTTACAGTATAAAGGGAAACAAAACATTTACTGACAATGTGAATTCTTGTTTACCTGTATATGTGCAGAGAGAGAGAGAAAGAGATAAAATAAATTTGTACGTCATTGTTTTCAAAAAGTGTTACGGTTAGAAACTTGTTAAGTTATTAAACATCAAATTGAAACAGTTGTTCATTTTACATTAAAAAAAACATTAAAAGGTGTACAGTAGAAAGTAAGAATTTTCATCGTTTTCAGTGCCTCAGGACTCGGATTACTTTCTGACCAGCAAAGACAAATATTTCTTCATCAACAGCAATTCCAGCAGTTGTTAAATTCACAACAGCTCACACCAGTAAGTTCTTCCTTTTGATAATACTTGATCTTTATTAGGAGCAAGTGATCCAAGCTATAATAACTCTTCAGCATAGGTATAGATTGCCCACTTTGTGAAATGACATTGTGCTGTAGTCTGTGATACCTGCAGTGACATTATATTGATTCATTGACAAATACTAGAACGTGGTCTGTGCAGCTCTGGTAGGCTCTGTATTTTCATGGCGACTTGTATTTTCATGCAGCTTCATTCTGATAGGGGTGATGGACGATAAATATATACATACCTTTTGGTAGTGATGAGTACTGGGAAGGAAAATGAAGCAGGATAAGGGGGTAGATAACAGTCGGATGAGAGCCATCTTAGATAGGATGGTCCAGCCTCTGAGTAGGTGGCTTTTGAGCACACACCTGAATAAAAGTTGAAAAAGCATGACTTTCTGACATGGGGGGGCGTGGAAGAGAGCGCGCACTCAAGGTGGAGGGACCAGGGCCTGTGTGCTGCGTGACTGGGCTGGTGTGGGGGAGAGCGGTCAGACGGGCGAGCATGGGCTGCAGGGTCGTGCGCTGCCTTGTCTGGCCCTCCATGGCCTGGAATTTAGATTTACCTTAAGTGTGATGGAAAGCCATTGGTGATTTTTTTTTTTAAAACCTTTCTTTGTGGAAATAAACATTCAGATGTACCAGGAGTAGAGAGTATGGTATACTGATTGCCTAGCTTTAATAATTATCCCAGTTAAAAAACTATTGTTTTCGTATATCCTCATTTTTGCGTTCAGAATTTTAAAGAATTAATTGTAGGGTTTTTGTTTGTTTGTTTGTTTGTTATTTTGGCCACGTAGCATGGCATGCAGGATCTTAGTTCCCTGACCAGGGATCGAACCCGCGCCCCCCGCAGTGGAAGCTCGAAGTCTTAACCACTGGACTGCCAAGGAAGTCCTGTAATTGTAGGGCTTTGAACACAATAGTGACATGACATACAGTGATGTTTAGATTCATGGGAGTCTCTGAAGTCAGTAGGGAATGAAATCTAATGTCTCAGGACTGAGCCCTGGGCACCCTGGAGGGGGAGAGTAATCTAGCCAAGGGTTTAGGGAAAAAGTGGCCAGTGAGTTAGCACAGAGAGTGGTGGCCTAGTTCCGTGTGAAGAAACATTTCAAGAAAGGGAGGACTCAGCTGCGTACAATGCTTCTGGTGAGACAAGTAAGAGCTGCCCATTGGATTTGGGTGTCTGGAGCTTTCTGAGAACGTGGTTTTGCTGAGAAGTGAAAAGCTTCACTGAGTGGATGGAAAGAAATAGAGGAAGTGAAGATGGGGTACAGGCAACTCACGATGTTTTACTGTAAACAGCAGAGAAATGAGTCGTCAGCTAGCATTAGAAAGACATGGTCTAAGGGGGGTAGTTTCTAATCATTTTGAAAATGACAGCATATGTGTATGTTGATGGGGAATTTTCTGGTGCAGAGAGGGGAGGGATAACGCCAGGGCAGCAGAGCTCTTCAGGAGAGAGCAGCTTGCCCTGTGATAAGAGGGAGGCAGAGAGGCTGTCGGTGGGTTTTATGACAGGAGGTTGAGGAAACCCACTTCTAATGTTTGTAGTTTTTAAATGGGAATTATAAGTAAAGTCATCAGCTGAGGGGGATAGATATATTGTAGTTAGAGGAGAGAAAGAAGGTGTGGAACATATCTTGGAGGTGGGGCGAGAACTAAGGCAGATGTGGGAGGGTGTGTCTAGCACACCTCACTGCTAGGAGAACACCCATTTAATTAACTTTGGGGTTTCAGCCTTTGTTTGTAACTTCTTTCTAAAATACATCTACCTACTTTCTTGCTTTAGTCAAAAATGTATTGAAAATGTCTGTTTTACAATTCTGGATCATTGTCACTGTCACTGCTCTTAACAGTGGTATAAGGATAGAGTCTATATAAATTCTTAAACGCTTACACTAAAATGTAGTCTCGTTTTCTTATCCCTTGCCTCATCTTAATATGAAGTTCTGGAATTCAGTTTATTTGGGGTTCTTCCTGTTAATCAAGATTTTACTCTAAGAACAGCACATATAGGTGCCTCGTTTCTGGAACGTGGTTGATCAAGGAATTTTTAGCACAAATGATTACCCAGAGACCAGGAAGACTGAGTGGATTAGACTTGATGTTTCCTTTGCAGCCACGGTTGTGGCGTGAGGTTTGTTTATTTACAAGCATCAAACTTCACATAGTCAGGAATGGTGCTGTGAGGCACCTCCCTCCTCCCACATTAAGGAGAACTCCTGCTCGACCTCCTCCTGACCCTCCTCCCGACCAGCTGCTGCCCCATGCTCAGCCCTGTCCATTTCTGCCTGGCCTCTTCCCTGACCTGGTAACGGCTTCTGCCCACTGGAAACTTTCTTCCCTTAGCTCCCAAGATACCAAATTATCTTGGTTTTCTTCCTACCTAACTGGTTCTTCCTTTTTAGCTTCCTTTTCCGGGTCCTCCTCGTCTCCTCAGCCCCACTCATTTCAGAGCGCCCTAGAATTCAGGATCTCCCCCAACCGCAAAGCTTTAAACACTGTCTGTGCTGATACCGACGTCTCCAGCCCGGGCTGCTCTCTCTGGAATTTCAAGCTCCCATATCCACTGCTTACTTAGTTGCCACCACTTGGCTCTCTTAATAGATGGTGCAGGCATAATTAATGTGTCCAAACAGAACTGCTGATCTTCCACATGGCTGCCCCACCTCAGCTGATGCACCTCCATCCTTCCAGCTGCTCAAGCAGTTATTCCTTCACCCCTCTCTTTTTCTGACACCTCACATTGAATCCATCAAGAATCCTAGGTCAGGTTGTGTCGCTCCTCTGTTCAAAACCTTCCTTTGCCTTCCCGCATTACTTTGAGAAAAACCAGAGCTCTCTCTGCCAACACTCCAGGCCCTCATCCTTCTCTGGCCTCCTTCCTGCTCACTGCACTCCGGCCCGGTCTCCTTGCTCGTCCTGGGTCATGCTGGGTGTGCTGCGGGGCCCCTCGGCACTGGCTAGCACTCTCTCTGCCTGGAACCCACCCACCCCTGCCCCCCCATATCCACATAGAGAATTCCCTCATCTCCTCGTGTCTGTGTCCAAGTGAGAACCACCCTGACCCCCGCCCCTGCTGTCCTCTCTCTTACACTCCTGTTCCCCCCGACCCTGGGCAGTAATCATTTCCTAACATTTCTTCACCCCAGAACAGTGCCTGGCACATCATAGTAAGCACTCAGGGGTGCTCGCTGGAAGGCATGGTCTGATAACCGCATCAAGAAAGCACTCTTTCTGTTGGCATGAATAAGAACTTTAAAAGTTATTTTAAGTTCCCAGAATTACGGGAGGGATTTCACCGTGCAGTGCATTCTAAAGCCAAACGCAGGTCACATGGCTGCTCTAAGTTGCCATTCTCCTTGATTATCATGGGCAACCGCATATGAATAGGGGTCTCCTACGTTTATTTGCCCCATTTTGAAAATAAGGCCATTCCCTTATGATATTGACATTTTACAGTAGATGGTTATTATCTAGTGCAGTGTGTTCTTCCAGATGAGACTCTTGTTGTCTTTCTTAGTAGTATGACTTTGCTGTCACTTAAATACCTAATATCAGAGCAAAGAAGAGAGAAAGCAGGCTGTCCTGACTGCTGGGTCTGCACTGGGACTCACCCTCTCCTGCATGTTCTTACCTAAGGAGCAGCACCAGGCCCTTCTGTATCAGCTGGTGCAGCAGCACCACCAGCCTGATCTCCAGCAGCTGCAGATCCCGGCACCCACACAGATGCCCATCAACAACCTGCTCGCAGGCACGCAGGCGCCTCCGCTTCATCCAGCCACCACCAACCCGTTCCTCACCATCCATGGCGATAATGCAAGTCAGAAGGTAACAGTAAGTGTCTGTGCTTTGTTACAGCTAGTGAAATACCAAAACGAATTTTATTGATTAATCAGAGATGACTGTCCAGCCCCTCTCTTCCTCCCCACCCCCCTTAAAATATATTATCCCCCTGATAATTTCTTCTTAAAACCAGTTATTTCAGCACCTGGATATTGTAAACACAAAGGACCTAAGCCAATTTATATATCCTCTAAGTATATCAGTTTGAATTTGCATGTAAGGTTGGAAGACTGTTTTATAATTCAGCAATTTTTCAAAATGAAAATGTGTTTAGTATGGTAAGTGGTATTGGACAGTCCAATCAGAAGATAGTAGTTGGTGTTTTGAGAATCTTTGTTTAACTAATTTGTTTAATTATAGAAATAGTCTAGATAATTTAGGAATATTTTTATTATTTTGCTCAGACATGCTAAAATTGAATTATATTTATAATAAAATTAATATATAAACTTTAGGGCAATCCAGTTATTCTACCTGATAGAAAGTAAATCATAATCACATTTGTAATGAAATTTAAATTCTTTATTAATCTCATGTAAGTGATAGCATCTTACCCTTTCAGTGGACAAGTTAAGATAAATAAAAATGGGTGCAGGAACAGTATACTATACATATAGTAGCACACATTTTAAGGCTGTTTCTTTCTATTAATTCTCCCCTTCAATCAGGTCTACTTTACTGGAGTATAAATGTTTCCCCTAAATTCCAGTTCAGGGCAGAACCCTGTTAGAGGAAGGATATTGGGATATAGAATGGAGACTGGACATCAGGAAAAGGAAGAAGGGAAAGAATGAGGTGGGAGACTTGGCAAAAAATGGTGTTAAAAGTCACAATGTTTGCTCTTTCCCATTACTTTGAAAGTTTGCTCTTTACTGTGCTTTTAGTTTTCAGAAACTTTAGTTTGTATTTAGTAACAAGAATTGGCTCAAAATATAGAGTTATTGGTTTTCATTAACTCTTCAGTGCTTTTCGTTTGCCCCACTGTTCCTCTGACTTCCTGACTGTGAATACTGTCATTATCACAAACCTAGTTTTGCAGACATGGAAAATTTCATTGATTCTGTATTAATTTAGAATTTTTTTAAACCGTTTTTTCCTAAGTTTTTTCTTGTGTTAAAAAAATTATACAGTATGAAATGTATTTTTAATGGAAAATCACAATAGTAAATACTATAAAATAAACAATATTAATTAACGTAGAAAAGCAAGTCTGGGAAATAATATTTATGAGTATCCTGCTATGCGGCAGGCATCTTTGTTAGATACAATAGTATACGTGGTTCCAATCTTTAAAATATTAATAGGCTGTAACCCCATTTTTTAAATAGGGAAATTCAAAGACGTTAAAGCTCAAAGGACACATAGCACATGTGGATCAGAACCCATGACTTTGTTAGTTGATTTTCCACACTACTGTGTTACTGCTTCTATGGAAAAGTCAATCTGCGGGGATGGTTTCTACATTCATTCCTTATGAATCCTCCCTCAGAGGGGCACTCCTGTCTTTGTATACTGCTGAATTTAATATAAAGCAACTGAATGTTTAGCAGTAAATTCATGTATTTATATTATGCTGAAAAGTAGCCATGCTGACTTTTAGAAAAAAAGGAATAACTGTATATATGACCTTTTATCTCAGTTAAAGTTTCAAGTAAGAGGATATTATCTTAAGTGGGGGTCAAAAATTCATTTAGCTAATGTATCTTATTTTGTTTGTTTTAACTGCAGAGACTTAGTGATAAAACTGGGCCTGTTGCTCAAGAAAAAAGTTGACACTTGAGAAACGTCTAGAAATGGACTATCCTGCTATTCTAGCACTTCATCTGGCTGCTGTTGCAGTCCCCTTACTACACCTATGAAGAAATGCAACAAGAAACCAGCTGCACGACAAAGGATTAATTGCCCCAAGAGCATTCTTGTAAGGCTTTGATTGATTTTCTTGTTGCTTTGTTGCACTGAAATGGAATTCCCATATCCCCCACCCCTCACCCACATTTTTTGAATTTTGAAAGAAAATTTAATAGCTAACTTTTGTCATTGAAGTAATTTACATGCAATGAATTTATCAGCCTAAGAGGAATTTAATATAGTTGGTGCACAACTAATTTTGTTATAAATTGGCGAGATGAATAGCAAAACTAAAGACTTGTTCCATTTTTAAACCATTTGATTTTAATGTAAAAGTTGGAACGTGAAATATGATCTTTTGTTTGGGTTACAGTATGCTTGCTCTGTGAGTCAAAACAAATTTCAAGGAACTGTCTAATTTCTTCTGTTGGAGTTTTATTGGTTAAATATTACAAATAAATAGGTAATCCACTTGGACTTGGCAAACTTTATTATGAAAATTTCCTTTCTAATGGGATTTGGCTAATTTTGGTAATCAAGTTAGGAGGTAAATGTCTGCTTCTGCTAAAGGTAATTTTCTTTTGCTAAATGCTTTTTCTTTAGTGTTAAGACCTACTCATATTTTAAAGAAAGCTTGAGTTCAGTGATTTCTAAGGCTGCTGAGGGAACCAGCTCAATTGAAAGTGAAAGAGGGGCCACTCTGAAACTGCTGGTAGGGTTTGGCCTGAATCAAGTGCCTGTTAGTACCTGCCTTGTGCTGAAGTGGCTCTGGACAGCTGAGCCTGCGCTCTCAGTTCTTGGGAGTAGTAGGGACAGTCGGCGCTGCACCAGCAGCCTTCCCCATGGTTCTGCCTTTATTAAGAACTTTCTATGCCACTGTAGCTAGCTCAGGCAAAACTATTACCTGGGTATTTATCCACTAATGAGTCACAAGAAAAATGAGTGGATTTGGTAAGAATTTTCTTTTTTTCTTAAGTTAGACAACTTCCCATTATTGACAATGATTTGAAACAAAACAAGACAAAAAACCCACCATTGCAGTTCCTGAAACAGGTGAAATCTGTATTACAGCCCTTCCATGTTGGGTATCCCCACTCCTGGTATGACAGTATAGCAGAGTATAAATTAAACAATTGGGGATGTAATCATTGAACTATTCTTAAATGTGTGAATTATTAGTGGAAAAGACCCAGCTGTAATTAGACCTCCACTGTGTACTTAGCTGGAAGAACATGTTAATTCTGCAATATGTCTCTTGGTTAATAAACATTGCACAGTTCTTACCTCATTTCTGTAAATAAGGTTTTGTGAATCTGTTTTGTATTGTGAAAAATTCATAAGATAACATTGATATTTTGATTTGTAATATTTCTAATTGGTAGATTTAATTGAAAAGTAAAATTAATTTATTTTTATATGTTCAGGGGAATTTTAAAGAAAGTCAAATCTTTTGTAGATAATTAAAAAAAATCGGTGTGGTTTATTTTACTTATTTAACCCACTGGTTGTTATTCTGTAACAATTTGTATAAATGGTAAATTTTGAATGTGTTGTTATTTTACTTAGATGTAAAATTCCACATGTATTAAAATGTACAAAGTTTTTGTTAATAAAATTTAATAATGTTTATAACTCTGCCTTTTTTCCAGTTTTATTAAGATATACTTGACATACAGCACAGTATAAGTTTAAGGTGGACAGCATAATAATTTGACTTACATATATTATGAACTGATTACCACAATAAGTGTAGTTAACATCCATCATCTCATACAGATACTAAAAAAGAGAATGACAAAAAAAGTGTTTTCCTTGTGATGAGAACTCTTAGAATTTACTCTCTTTAACCACTTTCCTGTATATCATGTACAGCAGACTGTACTTTTACAGTCCTAGTACTTATTTATCTTATAACTGGAAATCTGAACTGTTTGACCCCTTTGTCCAGTTCCCTCTCCCTCAACCCCACCTCTTTTCTATGAGTTAAATTTTGTTCTTTTAATAAGATTCCGCATATGAGGTCATACAGAATTTGTCTTTCTCTGTTTGACTTAATTCACTTAGCACAGTGCCTTCAAGGTCCATCCATGTTGTCACAACAGCAGGGTCTCCTTCCTTTTTTATGGCTGAATAATATTCCATCATACAGCATATGTATGTATGTATGTATATGTGTGTGTATAGACACATACATATATATACACACACAAATACATACAGACTCATATACCACAACTTCATCCATCAGTGGACATTTAGGTTATTTCCATATCTTGGCTATTGTGAGTAATGCTGCTATGAACATATAGGGGTATAGATATCTCTTCAACATAAGTGGTTTTGTTTCCTTTGGATATGTTCCCAGAAGTGAGGTTGCTGGATGAGATGGTAGTTTGATAATAGCCATTCTAACAGGCATGAGGTGATATCTCATTGTGGTTTTGATATGCATTTCCCTGATGATTAGTGATACTGAGGAACTTTTCAAGTGACTTTTCATGTATCTGTTGGCCATCTGTATGTCTTCCTTGGAAAATGTCTGTTGAGGTCCTTTGCCCATTTTAAAATTGGATTATTTGGTTTATTTTTGTTTTTTTCTGTTGAGTTGTCTGAGTTCTTTATGTATTTTGGATATTAATCCCTTATCAGATACATGATTTGCAAATATTTTTTCCCATTCTATAGGTTGTCTTTTTCAGTTTGTTGTTATATCTTCTTGATGGTTTGACCCCTTTATCATTATATAATGACCTTCTTTGTCTCTTTTTATCATTTTTAGTTTACAGTCTATTTTGTCTGATATATGTAAGTATAGCTACCTCTCCCTGCTTCTTTTTGGTTAGTTTTGCTTGAGATGTCTTTTTCCATCACTTCACTCTCAGTTAATTGTCTTAAAGGCTAAAGCAAGTCTCTTGTAGGCAGCAGCATGTTGTTGGATCTTGTGTTTTTATCCATTCAGTCATTCTTTTTATTTTTATTGGAGAATTTCATCTATTTTTGTTTAAAGTAATTATTGACAGGTATGGACTTGTTGTTGCCATTTTGTTCATTGTTTTCTGGTTGTTTTGTAGACCCATTGTTCCTTGTTCCTTATCCTGCTGTCTTTCTGTGTTTTGATGTCTTTGGGTACCAGTATGCTTTGACTTCTCTACCATGTTCTTTTTGTGTAATTACTACAGATTTTTCCCATGTGGTTACATGAGTCTTACATAAAATATCTTAAAATTATAACACACCCTATTTTAAAATGACAACAACTTAACTTAGATAGCTGTCCTAAGCTTCACACTTTTACTTCTCCCCTCACATTTTATGTTACTGATATTACAGTTTACATATTTTTCATATTGTGTATCCAATAACAGATTTTTATAGTTATGATTCTCTTTACTGTTTTTTAACTTTTAGAGTTGTAAGTGAATTATGCACCACCATTACCATATTACAGAATCTAATTTTGAATGTATATTTACCATTATCATTGAATTTTGTGGTACTTTCTTATATTATGTTAATTAGCATCCTTTTACTTCCACTCACCTCCCTTTAGGATTTCTGTGTAAAGCAGGTCTCCTGGTGAGCTCCCTCAGCTTCTGCTTGTTCAGGAAAATCTTTATCCCTCCTTCATTTCTGAAGGACAGTTTTGCCTGATACAGGCTTCTTGGTTGACAGTTTTTTACTTACAATATTTAGAATGTATCATCCCATCTCTCCTGGCCTGAAGTTTCTTTTGGGAAATCTGCAGATAGTCTTATGGGGTTTCCCTTGTATGTAACTTCTCTCTTGTTTCTTATTGCTTTCAAAATTATTTGTCTTTGACTTTTGATATTTTTAATGTGTTTCAGTGTAGACCTATTTAGGCTCAACCTGTTTGGGGTCTATTGGGCCTCATGGATCTGTTAATTTCTCTCCCCAAGTTTGGGAAGCTTTTTCACTTTATTGCTTTGAACATACTTTCTGTCCCTTTCCCTTTCTCTTCTCCTGAAATTCCCATAATGCAGATATTGGTTCTTTTGATTGTGCCCCATAAGGCTTTCTTCACTTTTTCTTTTTTTTTCCTTTTGCTCCTCTGACTGGGTGATTTCAAATGTCCTGTCTTCTAGGTCATTGATTGTTTCTCCTGCATGGTCCTCTGATTTTGAAGCTCTCTGTTGAATGCTTCAGTTCAGTCATTGTATTTTTCAGCTCTAGGATTTTTGTTTGCTTTTAATGGTTTGTTTCTTTGTTCAACTTCTCCTTCACATATTGTTTTCCTAATTTCGTTTAGCTGTGTGTCCTTGTTCACTAAAGTTCAAGAGGATTATTCTGAATTCTTTGATAGTTCATAGATCTCCATTTCTTTAGCATCAGTTACTAGTCTCCTTTGGTGGTGTCATGCTTACCTGAATTTTTGTGATCCTTGATTCCTTATGTTGGTATCTGAGCATTTGAGTAAGTGGGCTCCTCTTCCAGATTTTACAGGTTCATTTTAGCAGAGACAGTTTATCACCAGGCAGCCCTGTTGGGGTTTCTGGATGTGTCTGCTGGTAATGTTTGTGGGGGGGGGGGCCTGCTATATCAGGGTCTACTTTGGGGCAAGGCCACTGCCCAGAACCCTGAGGTGGGGGGCAGGGGGGGTGGTACTGCTGAGAGCACTTGGATAGGAAAGCTGGCTTGTTTCCCTGCCCTAGTAAGGCTGTAGGATGGGCTTTGCTGTTGCCTGGGGTCTCTGGTCAGGCTCATCAGACTGTCGGGACGGGGTACTCTACCCAGTATTAAGCAGGGCTCTGAGTTAGCTTCCCTCCCTGGTGGGGCAGCATTGTTTGGGGGCCCTAATTAGGCTAAACTATGCACTGAATTCCCTGGTCAGACAGGGCCGCCGGTGTTGCTCTGCAGACAGGGAAGCACAGGCTGTGCATTGTTTAAGTGCCACTGTAAGCACGGCT